GCAAACTTACAGTTAATGCATATTTGACCCTGGCCAAAAGAATAATGCACAATGTCAAGAACCAATGTGGCATCTCAATTAGGGTTTTACACCGCACAAACGCAGAAAACCACACGAGGGTATGCTGGTATTTGCACTACAGATGTGTGGCCTGCTAAGGTGCAATGTGGGTCGATGAGACAATTTCTAATTGCCAGCTCAACAGACCTCCTGCTATTGATTCCCTACGGTGCTGCACGAAGTGGTAGTTCGCAAGCTTGGGGGCTGTGTCCCAACACATATATCCCACGTGTTCCTCAGTTTCAACACTTCCTTAGCTGGCAAGCAGATTTACGTGACCATGGATAAGTCATCTGCCTAGACAAACATTGCAGAGTAGTCCGCAGCAAAATTACTGCTGTTTAGAGTGAACGCAAAATGTGGCAGAGAGATGAGGACAGCGTGAACTTTCTTAACATTGTATTACAACAACCATATGTACTCCACACCGCACAACACTCAAGTTGCAGCCTTAAAAAAAAAAGAAAAAAACCACTGCCCGTGAGAGCAAAATTGATGAATTGAATTTTGATGTATAACGTCTCCAATGATTCGCAGGCGGTGGTGCCCTGGGCTTTTTCCAGAGCAGCGTGATTATCCGGACTTGTTGGTACATAACAAAAAGTGAAGGCTTTAAGCACGTTATGATGCAAGCAGAAGAGAGAAAAGGCTGGATTTGCAAGTGCAATTCATTAAACCAAAGTGCTTCCTACCTTCTTCTAATAAATTTCTTTTAAGGAGGTGGTGGTGTTCTGAGAATAGCTGCTTTCAATAAAATTCAGCCTTTGTAATACACGTGGCTGTTCTTGTGCTCATGTCGTAACCTGCTGGAAGCAGCCTTTAGTCTTTTTTATCCAACTGCAACTTTCATCAATGTGAACTGCACTGGGCTGCCAAATGTGTCATCAGACAAGTCATGTCCGTTCATCAACAAATATTTGCACCTGGCCAACATATGCCAGATTGTGGTGTGCTGCATACATTATGTGGTTGTCATACAATATGAATTTCCCCTCCCCTTGTCTTTTGTTCACACATAATGGCCTCTATGGTCTACCCTGTAGTACCCTGAACCAGCTGGACACCTTGTGTCCAGTTGGTTCATAAATCTATACAAAAAAAAAAATGGGCAAAATATTCACTAATTACATGTTTAAGCAGCAAAAGCCACAATGAATCATCCTGAAAAAAAAAAAAAAAAAGACTGGTGTGCAAATGGCAAGATATCTGAATAAAAAAAACTTACTGGAAAGACTGGAGTCACACAAATAAACATGCATGTGTGGTTCCAATCTCTATGTCTTCCTACGTAGTGCCGTTCTCTTAATAATGCATTCATAGCAACACTCCAAACAGTCGGTCCTGTGTAATATTTAATCACTGATTATAGGCTAAGGTACACTGCATAGATTTCTTGGTTGCCTGGATGTGAAAAGACTGTACAACACCGGCTCAAGTTTTAAATGATACTTTCGCAGCATATTTGCCTGCATTTTCCTTTACAATAATTCCACATACTTTGCCCTTACATTCATCTCAATGAAACCAGGCCAGAATTGAAGTGGAGCCAATAAAACCTAACTACGAAAGTGGAGGGTCCCTGTACCTCGACTACATGTGCCGATGCAAGCACAGGCTAGCGTGCAAGTCATGTTCTTCGTCAGAAGCACATAATTAAGGTCCAGAAGACCATTTGCTTTCGTCAAATGTTTCAGTGCGCAGCCGACAGTGATCGCTTTCAAGAGTGGGCAAGCTCTCATGCCCCAAGGGCAAATATGCTTATGCTTCATCATACATGAATGACCCACATGTACAGGGTTTGTCCAATTTTTTTTTTTATACATTGACAATTCAACCTCGATGATCTTGAAAAGTATGCCCTTCCAGCATGAGCCCAGCATTTTCAGTAACTTTGCCAATCACAAAACCGGCTGGGGAAGCCACATTTGTTTGGGAAGTCCATGACAATAAGGCTCGGGCAACTTGTGCCATAGAAGGGGCATCCTAACTACAGATAGAAAGGTGGGCTTGTTGGTAGTTCACATTTGTTCAGCGAGCTGGGAGAAGTGTGGCAACAAACAACCGACAGACGAAGCACCACACAGCGCACGTGCTGTGTGGTTCTTCCTCTTGTTGCCGCACTCCCACTTTGCTGAATGAATAGGGGGTGTCCCGACTGTCGTTCATTTTCCCCCGCAAGTCACTTTCTTCCATTTCAAAACAATTAACGCCACTCAAGAACACTTGAATGACGCGCAATCATGCCACAGATCTTGCTGTTTTACCAAATTTAATGCAATTCTTCACCACACAATTCTGCTCTAACAAACGACTCATTGCGACGATGAAAAGGCACCATAAAAAGAGTTCATCTTAAAGGGGTCATGACATGGTCACCCAAGAATTAACGGTTTTTGGCGAAAAACGAAGGTAGATTGTCAAATATGCTTGTCCATGTGTGAAAACTGGTCTGCAAAAGATTATTTCAGTCCTAAATAAGTCGTCGAAGTCATGGCTGTAAACTTTGCCCACCGCCAAGACCGCCATTTTGTGATGGCTTGCGTGGCGTCACAAGCCGATGGAGCAGTGTCATCTGCTACGGAACAGCACCTTCCGCACGTGGTCAGTGTTGTGAGTGACGACGCACCTGTCAGTGGGTTGCAAGTGTTGCAGTGTGTTACCAGTACAGTCACAAGATGCAGCGACGTCACATACATTGCACATTTTGAATTTGACTCCATCGTCACCAGCTCAAGCGACAAAGAAAGCGTCGAAGACTGTGTGAGCCAAGGTGCCAACAACCTCGTTGTTTTGGCAGACGGCTTTCTGCAGTGATTATTAGCTTTATTTCAGGCGTGTGAAGCTGAAAAGCAAGCTTGGGATATGGGGGACAGTTGACGCTGCATTCGCGAGCAAATGTTATTTTGCCCCGTGTAATTGGCAAAGCGTGCAATTTTTTTTTCGCTAGCATACGTGCATGCACGACTTTCGGCTGAACATAATAAGCAAGTGGTCGTAGCAATGCTGCACGTTGGAACCGTTGTTTTTCTATCGGTTGTTGCTTGCGGCATACGTAAACGCCGAAGCGAACGGCATGTCAGTGCGGCCCTAGGGTTACTCACGATATACATTTTGGCCGAATCTTTGCTTGATCTTTGTAGTGGCAAACGGCATATACATTGCACATTCACAGGACACTTTTAATGACGAAAGTCCTTAGGGTGTGGGTTAGTCCCGCGTTAATCGTAATAGCCGCCCCTGCTTCTCCCAATGGTGAAGCAGAGAGGCGGGCGCGTTGAAGAAGATGCTTGCACCTGACTTTTTTGGCTCGCGTCTCGTTGTTACCAGCGCGCTGTCTGCATTCTCAAACACGATCAGACGCATGCACGGACAGACAGACATCCATCCATCTGTGCACCAGTGCTTCCACCTGTCTATGCGTCCGTCCGCCCGTCCGTGAGTCAGTCTATCCACTTCGCCCCACTCATCATCATTCACCTCGTGGATATGCTGTGATTTTTTTTTACCTCCGAAATTGCTTGCTGCAAGTACCAGTGCTACATGTGTGACATGAGTAAATGGTAACATTGCTTTAACCTCTGGAAGTCATTTAGTTCCAGTGGCAAGTTGAACAATGCAGAAAACATTCGATTGCAAGCGCAGCTAACCGCAGAACACTATCGTCCTCCGGAATGCAGACTGTGCAGCAGCTCGTCCAGCAAGCAGCTCGTGACGTCACGGCTAGCGATCGTGCCAGTGTTGCCCAACTCTCAGGCTGCTCGCTCATTTATAAAAATATTTTATTATAAAGTAGCAGCTCGACCAAATTTACTCAAAGTTCGTCAGCTTCTCTGTGAACATATAAGAATCGACCCACACAACACAGATTATGGTTGAAAATGGGTGTCATGACCCCTTTAAACTTGTTCCACACTCCACAAAGGCTAGGAGACTGTCGACAAGAGCACTCGTAGCCAAGACCCCCCAGTACCTAATCAGCGCAGCAGCATCCCTGTCCTTTATCATGCCCCCCCACCCCTCCCAGCAGAAAGAGTCAGTCTTACTCATTGCCGGACAAACCCTGCACATTTGCTGAAGTAACTTTCGTTGCAATTACCCTTTCACGGATCACATACAGTAACTGCAAAGCATGCAAACTTTCTGCCTTCTTTTTAAGCAAGCCGGAATTCTAGAAACTAGGCTTATGCCCTCACCTAGCAACATCCAAGATTTGCACGTAACCAGACAAATCATATTGGAAAGTTGTGAGCGCACTGCAACTCGTTCATGTGCTACGAACAAAAGAAACATTGCATCCACCTTACTGCGCACAGAGTGATGTACAGTCATGGCCAAAGTTCTTTGACATGCCAGAGCAGAGTTCAAATGGCTGCCTCTTTGACATTAGGCATGCACCGAGGCTGCACCAGCGGACAATTACAATGCACATCCAAGTTGTATATCAATTGTCAATCAGATAGGCAAATCAGCAAATAGATGATGCACGTGTGCTTAGTATTTGTCCGGCATAACCTCAATGCATCACCCAGGGTTCCCAGAGGATGCCCTTGAGTCCAGCATCTGGCAAAATTTATCCACGACTGCACTGGTCACATGGTGTCATAAAATAATGACACCCGCAGTAGAGTGATGATGGGTTGCATCATTTTACACCGATTTTAGGTAGTTTGATCCACGTGGTTAGAAAAAAAAGTGAACAACGTGTAACACAGCAGCGGAGAGGAGCTACTATTTCGCAAGTTTGTTGCAGAAATGACACACAGTAGATGTCCAATGCATACGTTAAATAAACCCTGCATGACAATGACATTAATGAGCATTCTTCAGCCACAAGCACTCAATACAGAAGCCACAACATGTTTGATAGGCATTCGGCAAACAACTTGTGCAAAAATGGCAATGTTGATGATGCGGTGCGAGTCTGTGGCAACACCACCATTTCAAGTAGCAGTAGGTCGACCGGTGATGTCGTGCGTGAATGGCTGTTGATGCTGCTGGTGCTGGTGGTGTTGCTGATGCTGCTGCTGCTGGGCACAGTGCACAGCCGCACTCATGTCCTGCGACTCTTGGTCGTAGTGGCGCACGTCGACAATGCGCAAGAAGCCGTCGGCGGCCCTCACCTGCTGCTGCACACGATTCACCAGGGCGTTCCTCGCCGTGTAGTCTCTGACGTCGGCGCGTGGCGGCATCCCGAAGCTGCAGCTGCTGTTGGTCGCCTCGGCACTGTTCACCACCACCCGCATGTCGGGGGGCCTCATAACCGGCGAGTTGCGAGCCGCCGCCGCGTAATCCACCCGACCAATCACCATGCCGTTGCTCCCGTCGTTCGGAGGGGGCCGCACGTCGGGTTGCTGCTGCTGCCGCATCACCGGGGAGTGCCGCGCGAAGTCGGCGGGCGGCGACGCGGCGTACCCGCAGCTGGGCCGGACGCCTTCGGGCCGTATCGCCGCCGGCGAATGCCGCGTCGCTCCGAAGTCTTCGGTGCCCGCGGGCCTGGGCGACACGTAGCTGCAGCTGTCGCTAGTGCGCACCGCGTCTAGCTGCTGGGGCCGGATCATGGGCGCGATCCTGGCTGCGTACTCACGGGCGTCGAAGCAGGGCGGCGTGGCGAAACCGTACGCGCCCATTGCATTGTTGGCCGCCATGCGCACGGGGTCGGTGGTGGTGGTCGTCGGCGGTGGCGGTCGCATCATCGCCGCCGGCACGCTCCGGGCGGGCTCCTTGTTGGGGTTCTTGCGCGGGGTGCTGCCCGGCGGCCGCTTGGCGCGCTTGGGAGCCGGCGCCGTGACGCCGTCGGCCGACTCCGTGTCCTTCTTCTTGGGTGAGCGCTTCTTCTTGGGCGGCGCGGAAGGGTCGCCCCCTTCGGCGACGATGGCCAGCGCCTTCGCCCGCTCGTACTCCTCCGGCGAGACGAGCACGCCCTCAGCGTTCCTCCTCTTGCGCTTCTTGCCTTTGCCGCCGCGCAGCTTGGTCTGCGGCGTCAGGACATGGCCGTTCCTTTCGTGCTCGGCGACCCACTTGAAGAGGGCGCGGATGCTGACGCCCGTGAGCACCGCGGCGCGCTCGTAGATGCTCGTCGTGCTGCCCTTTTTGGTCTCGGTGATGAGCGCGCCGAGAACGTTGAGCGCCACTTGCTTGGCCTGCAGCGGGTAGAAGGACGGCTTGGTGCGGTAGCGGTAGTCGGCCGGATTGACCATCGGCTCCGGCTCGGGCTCCGGAGTCTTCTCGCGCTTCTTCTTCGCGGGCTTCTTGCTCGACTTGTCCACCTTCTTGGCCTTGTCGGACCTCTTCGGCCTCTCCGCCTTGTCCGCGTCGGTCGGCGACTTCTCGGCGTCCGCCTTCTTCTCGGCCTTCTTGCGCTTCTCGCTCTTCTTTGATTTTATGGGCTTCTTGGGCTTGATCACAACCACCTTTTTCGGCTTCTCGGGCTTCCTCGTCCTCCCGGGCTTCCTCGCCTTCTCGGAGGACCTCCGCGCAGACTTCTTGGACTCGTCCGACTTCGCGGGCGCGTCATCCTCCGACAGCACAGACTCGACCAAGTTCCCCGGCAGCACCGTGTTCTCCGCATCCTCCGAATGGTCCACCTCGGCCCGGCTGTCGGGCTCGGTCGAATTGTCGGAATCTGTGGAAGCCTTCTTGGTATCTCCCAACCCTCCGGGCGCCGAAGCGGCGGCCATTTTACCTGCGAGTGTTTTCAAATGGACGCAGCACCTCTCGCGTTTTCGCTGCCTCCGCACGCCATGTTTGACAGTTTGCTGCACACAGTGGCCACTCGGGTCACTCCAACCATCGAAATACCGCACAGACAGTCGTCCACGTTGGACCACCACTGCGCGTGCTGCGTTGCTCACGGCATCGGTTCAGCTCTTGCTTCCCTTATTTGTTTACCACAGTGGACGCCGCGACCGCATCAATTGTATATAACCAAACTAGTAGGGGTTCTGTGGTATCACTACGCCAACTGCTGCTCGTGCAGTGCCGCTTTGGGGAAAGTCGCCAACAAGTTAATTGATCTTCGTAATGACTGCGGTGTTCCCTTTTCTAATTTTTTTTTTTCGCCTCACTTTTGGACTGGGAACCTCGCTATGAAAGAAAAGACAGGGCCTGAAGAAAGTTGCAAAGTACTTACGGTGATGCGGCTCAGCTTTGACGGAGTTATCGTGTTTTTGGTATGTTGGTGTTTTGTGGTATGCATTTTGAATTTTCAGTCGAGTTCGCGCGTGGGTGACACGATACGTTACCACAGCGTTATACCTCGTGCTCAATATTTAGGATCGGGGTGATATGTCACAAGTTGCGCACGAAAACTAAAGTAAACTGGCGTGTAAAATTCAAGCTCCGCAACGGATTATCCCGTACTCGTGACACCTGACGTCGGTCTTGTGATGTCATGAAAGAAATCTTATGCAGTATGACTAATAAATGAGCAGTTTGTGTCGCATCCTTGTCTGTGCACGCTTTCGATGTACCACGAAGGGAAGTTTCACAAGCGTGGCTGCTCGTGTCCCGAGTGTTCACACGCAATACGTGAAGACCTGCCGAGCGCATCACGTCGCACCTAGTTCCCAACGCCCTAGCTAGTACTTCTACAGCGCAAACACGGTTGCAAAAGTAATTTTAGGATTACGAACCGACTAGGCCCAAAGGAAGTTTTACTGTAACTCCCAACGACACCCTGCTGGATCGCTCCTCGCAAGAAGAGAGGTCTTCGTCAAGGCTCATCACGACAGCGTCAGGTCGGAAGACGAATCGTAATAACAGACGTGAAAAGCATCGCATGATGCAGTCGATAGTTTAAAGCTATCACAAAAGTTTTAGTCGTCATCGTTATTACTCGCGATCCGGCAGAGGGTCTATCGGTGCTCGAGTGCCGACCCGAAAGTCGGGACGGAATTCCGGTGGCAGCAACTGAATTTAGATGGAGGCAGAATGGCCATGTACTTGAATTTAGGCGCACATGAAACAACAACCAGGTGGTCCGCAGCACTCACTCTCGCTCGTAATTAGTCCTCCGCGGCCACAGCATCAACTTCGCAACTGTGGTCGCCCCAAGCGAGATTGCTGTAGGCTCGATAGAAAGGCCAGTACTCTGCTGTGCATCCCAATCAGGCCGCGGGTATTTTTTTATTCATTCTAGCTGAAAGCTGTGCAGTATTATTTTTAGTGCACAGCGTTTGTATACATATTCAGATTTACTGCACAACTTGAAGCAGATCATTCGTTTCAAGCGAATGCAGTGGCATTTAGGCAGCCGTCTCTCATCAGCCTATCTGTATGAGCCTATAAAGCTGAAACATTTTTGATCGGCTGCGTGTTATGGCTATTTTACTTATAGGAGTGTTCATTCCAGCCCCCATTCGGTGGCAACCTCTATTACTGCCCGCCTGAAGTCTATTTTGCCTCCATAATGCTTTGAAAAATTCAGCCCAGTTGCTTTGAACTGCTCTTCACCATAGCAGGAGGACAATAAAGGTGCAACTTATTTGTAGAGAGGGAGGGGAATACGATCCTGCACTGGATGCTCCCACCACTCGACCAGCTGTCTTATTCTCTCAATGCACCCCGATGTCGATCCCTTTGTCCTGGCCTCGTAAATCCTTCCTTGGAATTTTCTACTCTAATCCAGGCCCATCTCCATTTCCTTTTTTCTAAACTCTTTTAGGCTGGATCTCCTGTTGCAGCCTATTTTACAATCTTTTGCCTTTCTCCATGTGGTGTCGACGTTCCTCGTGTTGTCCTCTCTGAATTCTGTCATTTGAGGGCTTCCCTGCCCTCGAATGATGTCCATCCCATGTCGCTCTGATTTGCTGTATCTCTGTGCTTGCCAAAAAGCAAACCTGCCTTTTGCACCATCACATTGCATCACAGCTAGCTGCATTCCTGCTACTTTCAGTCTATACACACAACCTCACAAAGACAACAGACAAGGAAGGCATAAGAGAAATTATTTCTAGCTTTCACTGTTGTGTAGAAAGAATCGAAAGCAGATGAAGAAATGGCTTGCTGCCAGAAGCGACAACCCTTAGCATCATTAGGCTGTTTCTTTAGTCGTTACATATTTTTTATCTTTCGTTAGGTCCATGCACAAAGATGTCTGCCACCACCAGTATCATGCGCTTACAGTTTTATCGGATGCAGTGCATTTCTTACAGAACCAAGGGCACTTAGACCATCTTATTGTTCTCTCAATGAAGCGCCCTATATCACTGCCACATCATATTTTCCCCACCGTACCGGTTATCCACATTCAAGTCCTCTTGCCGCCATGGCATACCACTGCATTTTCTGCTTCGTCAGAGTTGTTTCAGACTGGAACGGCCTGCCCTATAACATTGTCAACATTGCCTCACCATCTACTCATCAAGAACACATCACTGATCATCTGCACTGTTAATTCAATCATCGCTGTTAAACTTTTACTAGTAATACCACCCCCTATTTAACACCTAGCTTGCTGAATGAGGGCGTTTAAAGAAATAAAACTGAACTGAACCGGACTCTGTCTACCTGTAGCTGCTTGCATCTGGGCGCTCTAGTGGACGTCTGTTTAACTCAGTATGCACCAATATTGGCTTTGAGGAGGACGAGAGTGAATGACAAACAAGACTCGGACCTCGTGACACAAATAACGTAACACACTTGTCGTGAAACTCTTTCCCCAAGTCACATACAATACATACCAACACACAACAGACCACCGTATGCTGGCATACATAAAACATTTATATCAAGACTCTCTATCAACGATCAGTCCTGATGGTGGCACTAGTCCAACACCAAACAAGGTAACAATATTGACTCTTTTTCAATGCAATAAACATTACTTCTATGATTCGGCAAGCTATGTTCCGTCTTCACAAGAACACTCCAACTTGCAATTCATTTTGATAAAAGTCTCATCTGTGCTGTAACATGAGTGTCGATGGTACATCCGGCCATAAGTTATCCTTTACAAGCCAGTGTAGTTGGCATGGCTTTTAAGTTCATTGCATGCGAAAAACCGCCTTATTCACACAAGGACTTCAGTACACTCGTGTAAGATATGGCTTAATATCAAAGGCAGAACATGCAGCTACTTCCCCCTGGCTGCCTCTTACAAAATCAATTCTCACAACACGTGGTATCTGCCACAGTCTTCATCATTTTAAATCATCTGTTTCTCTATGCTAAACTTTTAACCTCAATCTTTTTTACCACAAATGTCCATCAATTGCTGTAAATCTTTTTTTGTTTATTATTACTAGGTTAATTAATATAAGTTTAACTTGGGAAACACACATAAAAAATATTTGCAGCAACGTGCTAAAAAAAAGCTTGCATTTTTTAAACGAAAATTGTGTCGTAAGTCATCGGCCGTAAAGTTAACTGCATACAAAGCTCTCGTCAGACCAAAATTAGAATATGTAGATTTGATCCTCACCAAAAGTATTTGGTCAGGAAATTAGAAAGAGTGCAACACTTGGCTTTGAGGTTTATATACACTACACACTCGCGCTTTTCCAGTGTGTCAGTTCTTCGCGTCAGGGCCAAATTGAAAAAAAAAAAAAAAAAAAATTAGCTCATTACAGAACTGCATCTCGCTTGAAATATCTATATCAGCTGTACCACAGTCACTACAAAATACTATGTGAAAACTGCATAACTGAGCCCCTCATTGCAGTCTGGTGGTACAAACCATAACAAAACAATCAAGCAGCCGTTTAGTAATCTAATATGCATCAGTTTTCCCATTTTTCACTTGCTATATCACCATGGAATAAATTACCCAAAGAAGTAGTAATTGTTAACACAGCTGAATCATTTGTTCAGTATTTAAATAACCTTTCGCTTGATATGTAAAGTTCTCTTTATGCTGAACAGCTTTGTTGCAGTTGATTCTCACGTTCACTTCTTTATGCATAGTGTTCATCTCATGTGTTGAAATATTGTATGTGGATATTTTATCATTTATGTTGTGTGTTTGTTATTGCAAAGCATATTTATTTATTCATTTTCTTTTGCTTGTAATTGTGGTTTACTACTTGAATTGTTGATAGTTCTAAGCATTATTGTTGGTATTAATTTTAAGTCCTGCTGAGGTCCGAGTAAGGCCTGCAGTATTTGCAAATTAAAAAAAAAAAGATTCTAGAGACAGTGGGATTGGGCGTGTTGGTATAACATCATAAAGGGTGCTTACCAGCGCAAACGACAGGGCAGGAGGAGACAGGAGAAGCAACGAGACAGAGCGCTGAACTGCCAACAATTTATTTCTTGTGAAGGTATTCCCTTTTATACAGTTACCAGTCGCACTAATCATGCGTGAAACACAATGACAATGCATAAGTACATCACATTGACAAGCAGAGGAACAACTTTTCCTTATCGGTGAGCGCGACAGAAGGGGTGCTAACACAAGCATCTTTCAATGAGCAAATCTTTTCTGCCTCTATGATCTCGCGTGTGGTACGATCCTTGCATCTAGCAACAATAGAACACTCTGAAAATGCAAGGATCGTACCACACGCCAGATCATAGAGGCAGAAAAGATTTGCTCATTGAAAGATGCTTGTGTTAGCACCCCTTCTGTCGCGCTCACCGATAAGGAAAAGTTGTTCCTTTGCTTGTCAATGTGATGTACTTATGCATTGTCATTGTGTTTCCCGCATGACTAGTGCGACTGGTAACTGTATAAAAGTGA